GGCGGTTTTTCTTTCATGTACGTCCGCCATTTTTAGGTCACCGGCTTTGTAAAGCCTGGCTTAATTCGTTGAGAATGCGCCCATAGACGGCATTCCCACAAATTTAGATCCATCCATCTGGAACGTCCTAACTCCCTGAGGGTTCACGCTAAATTGCTGTCAGCTCAAGCGACTTAAATGTCTGTCACGCCTACCGAATCAGCTAGGGTAAAGATAATTACCCCCTAACAGCTTTACTAGGCGTGACAGACACTTAAGCCGGCCAAGTTGACAGGAATTTAGTGAGACTCCCCAGAGCGATAGATCGATCTAAATATCTGTGGGAATGGTCTCTTAGGCAACAGGTGGCCATAATCATAACTGAGACAGTTTCCGTGGTCACCCATGGCTGCTTTGAAAACATGCTCATGCAGTAAGGCCTTGCGAACTATAACATGCTACATCTAACAAATGTTTAAAAAATGTTGCCGCTGAATGAAAAAATGAATGAGAGCGTTGAAGAAATGTGAGTCCCAATTCACAGGTTGTGTCCAATAATGATCATTCTTGGAGGTAGTAACAGTCTGTTGACAGTGATAAATGTCTTTGACGTTCTAATATGCTACACACCATTCATTCATTTGGCAGACGTCTATCTACAAGTAAAATATTGCCAATCGTTATCAAATCTCGAAGAAACTTGGTAACGCAGGGGCGGATCCAGGATTTTTTGAAGGGGGGTCTGCGGATGCGAGGCCGATCCTCCCCCCCCCTCCCAACACTTGGCGTTGGGTTCGGGGCCCGCCGAAGGGCCCAAAAAACATTGGTATTTTAGATGACCCCCTGACCCCCCCCCCCCCCCCCCCCCCCCCCCTCTAACTCCGCCACTGTAACGTGGGAGACGTCATGACTTACCGGTAGCATCACTCCATGCAATTTGAAGTGATTACACCATTAATAAAAATTAAAAATAAAAAAGAGCATTTTTGCCCAGGTAACGATCGTCTTCTTTACACAAAAACACGCAAGCTATCAGATTCGGTCATGCTACTGTTGAGGTACAGTCTTTATGAAAAAAAAAAAAGAAAAAGTCGAGGGTAATTTTCATAATTTATTACTAAGCATCAATCAATCCCAGTTACAATTAAGTAGTCCGATTTAGTGAGAATACTAAAGTGTAAAGCTAAGTTAGTACATGTAAGTAACTAAGTACCAAATAGTAAGTGCATTCAAGACGTGTATCATCAAAGAAAAATATACAATCATGTCATTATATTTAGATTACAAAAATGAATGATTTTCAAACTTCACCTTCAAATCACCAATTTGGTAATTGTGTCAATGCTTGAAGAAATATCCTGTACATTCTGCTTCCCAGGGCCTTCCAAGCTTAGCTTATTAACAATGCTGAATTTGGTTATCTGCCCCTTAAGACTTAATATTAAGCATGAAAAACTTCAAGACAATTTTTAAATTGTATCTAAAAAGACACATCCGTTTAGTTTATCATAAATTCAGATAAGGCAAAAAATAATTTTACACAAAATATACACAAAGAAAATATTAATATGCCACTGATAGCAATTAATTATACTGAAATTATACAATTTTAGAACCCACATGCACAATAAACATGATCCTAGTGAAAATCAATAGGCTATGGGTTCATCCTTCAACAATTACCAATCCGCTGACATTTTTGTAATAATAATTATAATAATATTTATTTTTTAAAAACTGCACTACACTACTACTAGCGCTGTTTACAAATAAAATTATCAGGATTACAACTAATTATATAGATAATAAAAGCTAAGGTTAATAAAACTATTTAAACGATTAATGCTGGTTAAAATAGTAATGGTCTCAACAATAAAACTTTTTTCTGATAAAATGAGAAAATATATAGTTTAATGCATTAAATTTTAATCGAAATACTGTGCAAATAAGAAAGTTTTCAAGTCTTTTTTAAAATCTTCAACACTATCAATAGTCCGAATGTGTGAGGCTCTATCATGAACCAAAAAAACTGACCACAAACAATTAAACATAGAGTTGCCTACAGGCCAAGTACTTGTGAACTACAAGACCACAGATGTAACAAGCATAAAGTTGAACTGAATGGACAGCTATATTTAAATAAAGATGTGTTGACCAATGGTCAGTCTTGCACACTGATACAGTCTGATATTTTTCTGTCAACAGAGTCCCGTGTGGAACAAATCACAGTTGAACTTCCCAGCAGTGTATTAAATGATAAACATGATTCTTGAAGCGCATTGGTCTATTTCAACCTCCCTCCAAATTAATACTAATCAATACTACATCTAGATGAAACTTGGAGTTTGAAGAAGTTGTGACCTTGTTCAGATCAGCCAATTTGACTTCATTACAATCAAAATTCAAAAAACTTTTTTTTTATTATTTTCAATGGGCTTTGCCCATGTTAATTTCATAACACTGATTGTTTTTTTACAAAAAGACAGTAAACACCATCCTTATGGAAATCAATAGGGTTCATCCTAGAGCAATTACCAATCTACCGCAATTTTTTTACAAACAAAATCTCTAAAAATGTGGCCCTATTGTGAGACAAAACTTTGACCACAAACGGACAAATGAACAGACCAATATACTTGGGAAAATTTTCTCACAAGTTACAAGAAGCCACAATCATTTTGAAATATTTTTCACAGTAAAAACAGAACAACTGACATTACAAGCGTCAGATTGCCAACTGAGCCTCCTCAACAAAAGTTTCACACCACAAAGTGAGTACTGCACATGCTCACAAGTTACTGGAAAAGTCCTCTTCTCACATGTCAATAGGAATGTGTCCAGGGTAAAACTCCTTCTGTGACCCCAATTCCTCTTCTTCTCTATTTTGCTCTTCTCTGTTTCTCTCCCTCGTCTCTATTTCTCTTAAGTCCCCTTCCCTCCTGGGTGGCTGAGTCTGGTATCCAGATGTGGTATCTTTGCACTGGGCATCAGGCTTCTGAAACAAGCAACAGTTTATATGCTTTACACAAGGAATTCTTAAGTAAAAGGTGATTTTGCCATAAGGCTGGGCTGAGCGTTGTAGGTTTAATTGTTGACAATGTTTCTGAAAACAGGCCAACTAGTATGATAGGAGTGATTTAGTGAAATAGTAAGAATTTTCATCTCTTTTTCAAGAGGGCTAGTATTCAGGGCTATGCACAATGCACGCTTGTGACTGCATAAGTTGTGACAGTGTGGGCTGTGTTGCATTAGGTGTGACAGTGCGGGGTTGTAATTGATATTGTGTTTGGTGAGAAATACTTTCCAATGCATTTTGGGAGGACACAGAATAATCAAAACAATAAGTGAGTATATTTTTTTTCAGAATGACGTGTGGCAAGGAGTTATATGAGGCAAGATTATTAGGTGTGACAGTTTCAATCTCATTGCTTCAGGTGTGACAGTTTCAATCTCATTGTTTCAGGTGTGACAATTTTAATCTCAGTGCATAAGCTCACCTCTGTTTGGTCTTGGAGCAGTTGTTGAATATCTGGCAAAACACTGGGTACAGAGACTGTAACTGGAAACATTACTGTGTTAGGTATCAATGAACGCACTGTATTAGGTACAACAGCATGAAAATTTCTCTCGAGAATATTAGTCAAAGACCACAGAGAATTTTAGCTAAATTGATTGTTATAAGGTATTTAAAAGGCTAGTATATCATTTGCTAGTTCATATTTTTTGTGAGGGTCTTGAGCAAATTCTATTTGTTTCATCAAAGATATTCAATCTCAGAGATTAAAGCTGTCCATTTGCATACATCAGCTACATTTATGGTCAGCCAGTCGTCTGTAAAACACTACTGGGAAATTATCAAAGAGTTGACTTTATATAGCCAGCTATCTGGTTCTAGCAGTCTAATGTAAGACCTACAATCTTAGACATTGTGTAGCTCATCCATGAATACAAATTAAAATCAGCACAGAAGTGGAAGGTCACTGACTGTTCATTTTGAAACACACATACCTCAGACTAACAAATGTAGCTGCTTCAATTAGCACACATGCATGCAGGCACCAAATCACACACACACACACACACACACTGATGCCATTACAGCAAACAGAAGCTGACCTGAGGAGTAAGACAGACCACACATGTACCTGTTGTAGGTGTTAACTTTTCCTTCCTATTAATGTAATCTAAGCAAGCCAAGGCACTCCATCGATCATGTGGTACTGGGTTTAGCATCAATTTTACCAGATTCTTTAACCATGTGTACCGATCATCCTTAGGCATGAACTCTACAACATGGATGCCATACGCAGCAATCTGAAACGGGTTGAAATAAGCATCATGTTCACATCCACCTTGGCAATATTTTAGGCTTCTTTCAAACTGTTCCCACAAATTTGCAGCAAACAGTAGTATACATCAATTTCCTGCAACAAATTTATGAAGTAGGGGTGGGCCGGATGGGCCGAAGAGCAAGCAAGAATTTTGTAAAACTGTGAATTGCAACTACATTTCATGCATATTCAAGAATTAAAATTTTACACACATTTAAGAGCATCTAAGTATTAACTAAGCAGAAAAAATGCACAGCACTGAACAAATGACCTTTACCTTTACTTTACAATGAGAAGTCAAATTTGAATTTGATTAAAACAAAAAAAAAAAAAAAAGATAAAGCTGAAATAATTCAAAATGAAATACAATGAACCAAAATTACAAAATTCCATTGCACAGATTACTCATATGCAACAAATTACAGCTGTAAAGACCAATCTACCTACATGCTTCACCAAGTTCTTTTGATCTGTGGGCAATGGTCCATTTGTCACTGCTCTAATCCTCTCTGGCAGATATGTGTAGACTTCTACTCCTGTGGTCAGAAATATCACGCTGCAGGCAAGAGCCCAGATGTCCATTTTTTCTGAGCAATTTTGCTTATCAGCGCACACCTCTGGGGGAAGATAGTTCACTGTCATGCCTGAAGTATGAAGATTGTGTTAGTTAAGAACAATAAGTAATGGGGGTAGTTCACTGTAATACCTTAAGTATGAAGATTGTGTTAGTTGAGAATTAGTTTTCATAAAGGGTTTCAAAAGAAAAAAGACTGTGTAATAGTCCATGTTTTAGCTGTGTGTGTGTGTAAAAAGAGAAACAATCTATACCATTACAAAAAAAAAAAAAAAACAAAAACAAATAATAATAATAAAAAAAATAAATAAATAAAATTGAGAAAAATTTCAAACTGCTCACCTTGCCCAGGGTTTAATCCTCTTCTCATTGCACCTCCATAGTCAAGAATCTTGACAATACCGTCAGTAGTTATCCCTATATTTGATGCTGTAAAGAAAAGGACAGTCTTATATTGCTACAACCGTGCTGATTTTTAGGCAAGCCACAAAAGAAAAAAAACCTACAGGTGCAACCCAAAAATATTATCAAACAAGAGAATAAGAGAAGGGAGTAACTACTGTTAACTAAGGAGTAACATCCATGTTAACTAAGGAGTAACCCCTGTTAACTAAGGAGTAACATCCCTGTTAACTAAGGAGTAACCCCTGTTAACTAAGGAGTAACATCCCTGTTAACTAAGGAGTAACCCCTGTTAACTAAGAGCAATATCCCTGTTAACTAAGGAGTAACATCCCTGTTAACTAAGGAGTAACCCCTGTTAACTAAGAGCAATATCCCTGTTAACTAAGGAGTAACATCCCTGTTAACTAAGGAGTAACCCCTGTTAACTAAG